TGGAACTGACAGTCTTGGTGACACAGCTGCCATTGGCAAATTAAGATATTATTAGGTGGGGATCACGGACCGGGGTCCTTACTTGGAATCCAAAGTACAATTATGGGGGACAGTAATGGAGGAAAAGAACTCGAACTGGGGCCTAAGCATTTGACGAGGATGTCCGACCTTCCTTGGGTTGGTTGTTTGCGAGATTTGCGAATAGATGTGCATCCGGTTAACCCATGGGTACTGTTCACGCCTGACGGCAAAACGCTGCACATTTGGAACTACAAGAATGGGAAACTGGTCACTGTGTGGCGAATGTCGGGGATGGACAAAGCTCGAGAAGCCAAGTTCATTTTTAGGAAGGACTGGATTGTGGCGAGGCATGTCAAAGGCTTTGTCGTGTATGAAATGAAAGCTACGAACTTGACAATGTGTCCGGGTATCATCGCAGAAGCACTCTGCAAAGGGCAAGCCCCAAACTTGCGCATTATCACAAGGCAAGACACAAGTGTGCTGAATAGAGTTGTTGTCCATCCCACCTTGCCGTATCTATTGAGCGGAGGTGCGAGACTCGTCTTGTGGAACTGGGAGCGGAAATGGGACCCGACTATATTCAGAGGACACTCTCTGAATGTATATGATGTGGCATTTAGCCCACAGGATTCACATATCTTCGCGAGCACCTCAAAGGATCGCACAATCAAAATGTGGAGTACGCAAAGTAAGTCGGTTGTCCAAACCCTTCGCGATGAAGACATGGAGAGGGCCCATAAAATTGGGTTTTGCACGGGCCTCCGGAAACTACTTGTGTCCACAACAAACCAATTGGAACCCTTTGCACGGGTCTGGGACTATGAGACCGGCGTATGTATAGCCAAATTGGAAGGATCTGGAATTATCTTAGCCTTCTTCCATCCACATTTACCTTACATCTTTACTGGAGCAAAGGGTGGCGAAATCAAAGTCTGGAGAGAGTCCAACTATGTGCCAGTGTCATCCTATTACCCCAGAACGGGCATGACGCGTGGTTCTATCGTGGCGATAACTCCAGGTAAGAACAATGCGCTCGTTCTTGGGCTTCGAGGACAGTTCCTGGTAGTTGACGTAACGATTACAGGAAAAGGAAGGGATGAGGACGGAGACATCCACATAGTACGAACACCGGGCGCAAACACATCCAATGAGCGAATGGCAACGGACGAATCGGAGTTGCAAAGCCGGCACGACAAGGACATTGTAGAGACTGAGAAGGGACATGGGCAAACCCTGATGGTCCAAATGGAGAGAAAATGGCAGAAATCCCTTGATGATTTGAGAGCAGAGCATCTGAACAAGGAGAAAGTCCAAGCAAAGAGGCTTCGATTGTTGAAGGGTAGGATCCGAAGTGAAAAGGCGCATAGGAATGCGGTGGCAAAGGAACTTAGCAAGTCGAGGTTGAGCAATCAGCAGCTGCAGGGGAGCTTGCAAAAGGAAGTCACCGAGCGCCGGATTGCAGATGAACTGAGGAAGCACTTAGCAAAGAGGGTGCGAGAGCTGGAGGAGGAGAAAGCAATGCTGATGGGGAAATCTAAGAAACTCAGGCTGAAGATTAGGAAACTCCAAATTGTAAAGGGGGCTGAAAACCAGGACGCAACCAGGCTGAAGATAAGGAAACTGCAAAAGGGCGCTGAAAACGAGGACACAACCTGCGAACAGTGGGAAGTGCAGGAGTTCTCCCTTGAACAGCTTGAGGCGGCTACGGACAATTTTGATGAAAAGCGGAAAATTTGTGGTGATGGAGATCAGGACCTATGCACTTACCAAGGTGAGCTGCAGGACGGTACTCCTGTGGTGGTGAGGAAGGGGCGTACTGCAAGTTCGCAGGAGATTGACTCGGGGAAGTTCAAGACAGACTCTGAGGTGGTGGACAGGTTGAAGATGCTGCGGCACCCGCACTTGTTTAACCTCATGGGAATCTGCTATCAGGCAAACAGTCTGGTTTACAAGCACCAAGCCAATGGAAGTGTCAAAGACTGGATCGCAGGTGGCGGGAACTCGGAGATACAAAACAGCAAAGGAGTGATTGTCTTGGGATGGAGTTCTCGCTTCCGAGTCATGGTAGAGGTTGCTCGAGCTCTGTGCTTCTTGCATTCCAATCCGTTGAGATCTGGTGGTCCCATCATCCACCGTGCTATCAAGCCGGCCAACATTCTTCTTGACAACCAATTGGTGGCAAACATAGGCGGCGTTGAACATGCACTGCTTGGCCCACATTGGGAGGAAGGAGTCCAAAGTAGTACCAGGAGTTTCATGATCCTTGACTGTGATTCCCAGTACATGGCCCCAGAAAGTTTCCGCTCCAAAGTTTTCGATGAGAAGACGGATATCTTTGCATTTGGCATAACGATGTTGGAGATGTTGACCGGAAAGTTTTGGGATGCGCTAGAGTTAGTTCAGGATGCAATTGGGAAAGACGATGCAACTTTTCAGCGCGTTCTAGATGGTAGTGCAGGTTGTTGGGATGTTCGCTTAGCTCGAGAAGTGGCAGAATTGGCGTTGAATTGTGCCAGTCTAAACAGGCACAATCGTCCAAGCATGATGGGCAGTCATGGGGCCATTCTACCCATACTAGAGGGTATTGCCAGAAAGGCGAAACTCGAAGAGCAGGCAGGTAAGGCATAAGAAAAGGGACCATGTTTCACTGAATCAGTAGACAGATAATGCATGCACACTGACAGGAAAAGGGACCAATGCATGTTCACTGACTGAATCGGCAGACGATGCATGCCATTGGGAAAACGGACCATGTTCACTTGTTTGTTCCATTGGAGCATCAACGATTGACCATCTAGGGGTGGTATGTAAATACTGTTCCCAATGAGCTTCCATAGCAGCTGAGAGGGTTGTGCTCTGCTAATCCCTACTCCAACCACCAACCCCCCCCCCCCCCCCCCCCCCCCCCCCCCCCCCCCACCCAAAAACCCCCCCCCCCCAGCCACTCCAAGCACATAATGATTGAGCCACTCCATGCACCTACCGACAAAAACACTCCAACACCCCCTCCCCTCCGAAAAAAGGGAAAAAAAACACCCTTTGCTGGCAGGATACGGCTGTTATTCTAGGAGGGCGGGATGTACAGGACAAGCTCTTTTTTTTTCGTCTTTTAGAGGACACCTTGACCTCATCGGCGTCATCGCCCTTGTTCATCCAGCATTCGCCTATAAACATATTCCTTGCTATAACTTTTCTTCAAAAGCTGCAAGCCACAACTGGAGGAGCCATGGAGGGGTGGCGGGGGAGGGGGGGGAAGGGGTTGGGATGGGTTAGAGGTGGGGGGAAGTGGGGGGGAGGCGGCGGGGAAGGGGGGTAAGTTACAGGTAAGTAGAAGGAAATGGCAGGGTGGAGAAAAGAAAGGAGGTTTGGAAAGGGCTTTGGAAATTGGTCGCGCATTAAGCGGTCAGAGGGGTTCATCTGGACAACCGAGTGGCCGATTCCTGTGGGTGACTATCATCTGTCTAGTATCCCACCTCTACAACAACCTGGGCTTCACAGAAGAACGAAAAAAAAAAAAAAAAAAAAAAAGCGGTGCAAGGAATTAGGCCGCTTGGCAATGCTGGTAAAGGCCACGGCCGCCCAAGTGAAGATGGGCCTGCAAAAATTTTGACTTGGCCTGTGAGCAGGCCGATGTGACCAGGAATGGGGCACCCGTAGGTTGGTTGCTGCATGCAGCATCTCCAATCAACCGGTAGGGCCAAACACCTGGTTGGTTGAAGGTGTTGGGGCCCAGCCAAAGATCCTGAGCCCTCACCCAGGCCACTTAACGTTGAGCCCTCTCCCAGCGCACTTAACGTTGAGCCCTTTCAGATTCTGCAAGGGCCCTGGGCAGAGCAACTGCGTTGGGGCCCAGCCAAAGATCCTGAGCCCGCACCCAGGCCACTTAACGTCGAGCCCTCTCCCAGTGCACTTATCGTTGAGCCCTTTCAGATTCTGCAAGGGCCCTGGGCACAGCAACTGGGACTAAGCGCACCCAGTCCAGCCAGGGCGCGTGCAGCCAGCCAGCCAGCACAAAGGGAAGAGCCTAGGCTCATTCTTCAGATTCTGGCTTGCTAGACGCAGCAGCGCTGCTGGATCGCTCACTCGTGCGAAGGATAGCCAGGCCATAGGGAAGAGGGTGCTGGCAGAGCACGTGGGAGCTGCTGTGTAAGGCCGCAGGGCAGCACCAAGCAGCCATAGCCGGGCTGCTGGTACGCCTAGTCGGTGGAGGAAAGCGGTGCTCCTTGGGCATAGGGGCCTGCGAGGGGAAGACAGGGAAAGAGCGGTGTAACAGAGGCACTCACCTGGTGAAGACGAAGCTCGCCGTTCACTCGGAGTCTTCATGCGGAGTGATGCTTTTCAATGCTGAGCTGTTGTAGATAGGAGTCCAGACTGGTATATTTGTATTAAAAAAAAAAAAAAAAAGATAGCAGTCCAGGTCATAGGAACTGTCTGTCCGTAGTCATGGTGCTGATTGCCAACGTAGGAGAGCTACTTTGTTGTTGTTGTTGTTGTTGTTGTTGTTGTTGTTGTTGTTGTTGTTGTTGTTTTGCATTGTTGACATTAGTGATTGGAGGCGAGGATTGGGCTTTCATTATCATGTGACTTCAATGCTTTGCTCGTACTTATTTTTTGGTGTTATCTCGGTTTGTAAAAAAAATGTAAAACTAAAAGTTCTAAACATAAAAAATCAAACAGGCGTTCTCTCGGTTTGCAATATGCTTTCACCTTTTTTTGCCTCCTCTCTTTTTGTTCTTTTTTTTGTTCCAAAGAAAAAGGGATGATCCCCTTAAGCAGCATTGGCTGCGCGGGGAAGGTGTAGGCGATCGAGGGCGGAGTGTGCAGAGAGCTGCGAGTACCGAAATGTTCACAGTGCGCCATTAAATGAGAGAGTGTGCCCTGGGGAAGAGGCACCACGGCGGGCGTCGCGTCGATGCGGATGAACATCTCGGAGGAGAGCCATCCGATACGCGGGCACCCTTTTTTTTTTTTTGGTCGGCCGTTGTTGGGTTTTTTTTTTTTTTTTTTTTTTTTTTGAGAACAGCCCGATCGGATGCTAGGTGTGCTGATAAGAGCAGACACATCTAGCACCGTTGGGGAGGCTCCATCTATTAGTGGGGAGCAGCACCTGCTCGAAACCGGGTCCAGCGTCCCTTTAATACATCGTACAATGTAAAGAATGTTGCTGGCTGTTCCCCGGGGCTGTGGCCACTTCAACTCAGCGTGGGGCTCCGACATCCCATGGGGCTGCTAGTGTCACCCATCCCTTCTTAGGAGCAACCCGTATCTAATGACCCAGCCCTATCGCAGCAGCCCCCATTGTTGAGAAAACGGGTCCAGTGCAAGGGGTCTGAGAAGACTGAAAGGAAGGCTGGAGGAAGGCTGGGAATACATCTTGTAGCAGGTGCTACCTGGGGGAGCCTGTTTTTGAGGGGGCCTCCATATCCACTCAAGAGGATCTAGGGCCAGATCCTGAATCGGTGTGGAAGGTTGGAACACACATTTTTGTCCCTGTTCTTTTATCACCCTCACCCGGTGCACTGATGGTTTATCCATCCACTCAAGGGGGGCTGTACTCCCTTGGAGGGAACCCGATTTAGTAATGGTGAAATGCTCGACCAGAACCGTGTGAGGGGCGACCATGTGGATCTGGCCCACCCGTAGTGGGGTCTCTGCTTCTGCTACCCAATCCCCTTCCTTTAATGTAGGTCCATGTTTTAGAATTCGGTACCATGCCAGTGGGATAATTTCAATCAGGTAGTCCAAGTGTTCTTCTATATGGTGGCAGTACCTTAGGCCCCTCTTCAGTTGGTCTCTAGTTTTCCAATTCTGCTTGTCTTTGTCCCATAGGTCCCCCACCCGGAGTATCCCCCTTTTGACCCAACTCACCAAGGTGGGACGAACTCAGCAATACCCTGCCTGCCGAATCTGTTACCCACCTGTTTCCAAAAAGGGGCTGACGGTAGACTTCTTCCCACCTATCAGCGTGGGCTTTGTTCGGGAGTGGCAGTTTGCGCCACGTTCTTAGCAGGGATGGCCAGAAGGTGTCCAACGTCTGGCCACCATCCTGTCCCTCCCAAAAGCGGTCTTCCAACCACGTCAGAGGGTGGGTTGTTTGCTTGTGCCCCCCTTTTCTTTCTTTCGTTTTTCCGCCTATCGTTTTGTGGCCCCTTTTTCTTTCTTTTGCTTTCCTGTTGTTTTGTGGCCACCTTTTCCCTTTTCGTTTTTTGCGGTTGTGGCCTCATGCCTGCTCGGCCACACACACACGCACACACACACATTAATATTTATATTTTGAAGCTTGCTGGCAACTGTTGTAGTTGGGGTTTGAGCCCACGCACACATTAAATTTTGAAAAAAACAACTGCCCGATGAGATAACCGTTGAGGTAGATTGGGTCCGTGCGTGGTTTTGGGGACCTTTTCTTTAAGTGTATCCCATGCCACGCAGCTGGCACGTCAGGATGTGTTTGTGTGTCCGAACCCTATCCTTGCAGAGTGTGGAAAACCAGTTGAATGGCAGAAATGGAAATAATGTCAAATTGTCGTCCTGATGCATTTTGCTGCCAAAATGGTTTTTAGTTCTTTTTGTAATATTTTTCCTACAAAGATCACAACGAATTTTTTTCCTAGGAAGATCACAACGAAATCTACGGACTCTAAATTTTTCATATTTTTTCTTATATTCTTCTGAGTAGGGTTGTCGGCGGTCAGGTTTGGCCGAACTCCCGAACCCACCGAACGTTCGGTCCCCCTTGGGAATGCCTTCGGTCGTTCAGGCTGAACGCGGACCTAAATAATAATAATAATAATATTTTAAAAAATCCAAAAAATCCAAAAAATCTGAAAAAACAGATATATGTTATGCAGAAAAATAAAATGGACAATATTTACCTCGTCATTGAATCCGAATTCCTTACCAAATGTGAAATAAAAATAAAATACGGAAAACAAATAATGATAAGAGAAATAAAAAAAAGTGAAAACACAGAAAAGAAAATTAAAATTAGTGAGATGGCGAGCACGTTTTCGACACCGCCATCTTTCACGATTGTTCATTTTTTCTTGGGATAGCCAAATGCCCTGAAAATATACAGATGTGTATTTTGCATAATATAAAGTTTATAAAAATGTTTTAAGAAATAATAAAATATTTAAGGCACCAAAATAAAATCAAAACAAAAAGCAAAAAGTGAAGAAGAAAAAAAATTGGGTGACCGAGCACGTTTTGACACCATCATCTTTGGCGATTTTTCTTCTTTTTTTTTGGGGCTTGGCAAAATGCCTTGAACATTTACATGCATGTAGCACATGTCATAGAGAGCTCAAAAAAAAAAAATCAACAAAAGGAAATAATTTTAAAGCCCCAAAATATTTTTTGGCGAGGGCTGAACCCCTTCAGGTTAGGACCCCGAACGGGACCCGGAACGCCCGAACGTTCGAAGTTCAGCCCGGGGGCCCCCGAACGTTCGGCCTGCTAACCATGCTTCTGAAATTAAAAAAATCACGGAAGATGCAATACTTTTTAGTTGGCGGCACATGACATAATAGTGAAAATTGGAAAATGTGTCGAAATATCGCGATGATTATTTCACGGTCGAAATTATTTTTATTATTATTTTTTTTTTTTAATAAAAATATAAAACGAAATAGGTAGGTTTTGCAATTTTTATTTT